GGAGCATATCCGGGACATCACGGACTCGCTGATTGAGCACTGCCAGGAGAAGAGTGCTGGGGAGGATACCCATGTTCAGCTCTCCAATGAGAAGATAATTCACATTGTCAACGACCTCTTTGGGGCAGGTGAGAATGTTTCTGAGAGTAAAGCCATGGTGCTGGAGGCTGAAGCGGGAGGTGAAGCTGTTGGGGTGAGACCTTGGCCACGTTTGGGTGTGTGAAGCTGCTGTTGATCTCTTGAGGGCATTCCTTAGCAGTGGCCAGAGCTTTTCAGTGACAGCTGATGGGGAAATCACTCTATGGCAAACATCTGGAGTGGTGGGATCTGTAACTCCCACTCATCTGTCCTCTTCTGATAACTAAATGCCTTTTCCATGTCCATCCAGGCTTTGACACTGTGTCAACTGCCTTATCCTGGAGCCTCATGTATGTTGCCTTGTACCCCAACATCCAGAAGAAGATCCAGGAAGAACTAGGTGAGTCCACTAAACCACCTTCCTCTGGGTCCAAAACCTCTCTGGTCAGCACTGACCCTAAACCTCTTCCTCTACTCCACCTCCCACAGACCAGACCATCGGCCGGGAGAGGAGACCGCGGCTGTCTGACCGGGGCACACTGCCCTACACAGAGGCCTTTATCCTGGAGATGTTCAGGCACTCTTCCTTCCTGCCCTTCACCATCCCACACAGGTATGGGCTGGAGTGGCTGACACCTTTTTTGGGGGTTTTTTTTTTGGGGTTCCATTTAGGCAGGATAATTGCCTGGGAATTGATTCCTGCTAGGGGGAAATATTCCCGCTTGCTGCCATTCTGGGGTTGAATCCTTTGCTTTGAGGGTAGTTTCACTACAAAATATTTGCTAGCAGAGGGATGGTGGACACCCCTGGCTTTATAATTCCCTCCTACCTTGGGAGAGAACACATCCCAACCCATGTGGTATGAGTTGTGAAATGAAACTGGAATTTTTCTTCTTGAGGAGAGTACGACCAAGACTATTGAATCACCCAAATACAATCTGTGGTATTTTCTAGCCAATCCTAAGAGCAAAAATAGGGTATTGAAGGACTTGCCAGGCTTTGATTAGTCATGAAGCTGTGGGTCTCCTCTAACTTATCTTCCCACCTGTGTTTCCTTCAGCACAACAAAAGCGACGGTGCTGAACGGATACTACATCCCAAAGAACACTTGTGTGTTTATCAACCAGTGGCAAGTGAATCATGATGAGTGAGTATTCCAAACCCCCTGTGTTCATCTGGACTGCCATGGGTTTGCTTGGTGTTAAGATCACTCTAATCCTTGTGCCAAAAGATGAATGGATCATGAAGGAAAAGGCAGATTGAACCAAAAATCATGTGGATTTGATGCTGAGCCCAGCCTTGGTTCTCCTGGGCATGGTGCTGGTCCAGGTTCCGCAGCTCCCCAACACCAGGGCTTACCCAATTTATGTGGTGATGCCCTCGATGCACAGGGTGAGGGCTAGAAGCTCAGGCTGCTGGATAATCAGGAATCAGTAGATCCTCCTGCCAAGTAGATCTTGTGGTCTGGGTTGATGGATGGCTCAGTAGGAATGGCCTGGTTCCCTCTTTAAGGGAGAAGAATGTCATGACATGACTCTTGGTAAACTCAATAGGCTTGTGTTGCCATTGATGATAAACAGTTTTGGGAATGAAAGGGGGTCTGGAAGCCAAAGTCCTATCTTGTCTCTCCACTGCTCCCTGATAGAGTCCCTCCTGGTGGGGAATAAGCTGATTAAGGCTTGATACAGAAGGTGGTTCACAGACCGGGTATTTTGGATCAGAAGCTCAAGATATTTGTATCCAAATACCCCAGCAGCACAGAAACCTTCCAGTATTCCTTCTGCTCCTGCTGCTCTGGTGAGCATGAAATGGGAATGCTGTCTTTAGTGCAGAGAGGATTTCCCATATCCAAACAGAAATTCTCGGCTAAGACACTGTTAAATCCCACCTGGCACCTCCCAGCAGCCAAGCTGGGACAGATTGGGAAGTTTTGCTGGGAGGATTCAAAGAGAGGAAACCCTCTGGTCTCCATCCTTCCTTTTTGAAGGGCTACTGACTGATTTCTGTGCTGAAACTGCAGAATCTCTGGTGGTTGCAAGCAGAATTAAATCCATCTCCACTATCTGCACAGGCAAACATAATCTGAGCTTGGAACAGAGGTTTCAATAGACTGAGCTGATGGAGTCTGACACAGAGTTGGCATTTTAGATCAGGAATAGAGCTTGCCAAAGGTTTTTTGGATGGTGAAATGAGACAGCACTGCAAAGCTTTTCTCTGCAAGGAGATTTTTTTGATCATTGACCCCATCACAGTGGGTGAAAACTTTCATGATGCCCCAAGGGCTGGAGCCCCTCTGCTCTGGAGACAGGCTGGGAGAGCTGGGGGTGTTCAGCCTGGAGAAGAGAAGGCTCTGGGGAGATCTTAGAGCCCCTTCAAGTGCCTAAAGGGCCTCCAAGAAAGCTGGAGAGAGACTTTGGACAAGGGTCTGGAGGGACAGGACAAAGGGGAATGGCTTCCCACTGCCAGAGGGCAGGGTTAGATGGGATA